CCTAAACACCTAAACCCCTAAGCCGTAAACACCTAAACCCCTAAACCCTAAACACCTCAACCCCTAAACCCTAAACACCTAAACCCCTAAACCCTAAACACCTAAACCCCTAAACCCTAAGCGCCCCAAACCCTAGGGGCATGGAGTGCTTTCATCACCACCCAAAAAGATCGTGTAAGCGATGTAAGGATTGCACGGGAGCTTTAGGGTTTAGTGAGTCTTCAGGTGGTTTCATAGGGTTTGAAAGCTCAACAGCATTTGGGGTGTTACCCGTTGAGCTTAAGAAGCGGTAGGGCTGCTATTCGAGCTTTAGGCTAAGGAGTCCCAAGTTCTCAGCCCTAAATCCTACGGCCCTACACCCTAAACCCTGAAGGGGGCCCCATGCATGGGGGACCCCAAATTGAGGACTCCCTGAGGTTATGGTTTAGGGTTTAGGGGTGTTCCCCTGGGGTTTCGTTTAGGCTTCGGGGAGCAGGTTGCCATGGGCTGGGGGTTGCCAGTGGCTGCTCTTTATGCCAGAAGGTCTTCAAAGACTACACAGATCTTAAGGCCCTAAACCCTAAACCCCTAAACCCTAAACCCCTAAACCCTAAACCCCTAAACCCTAAACCCCTAAACCCTAAACCATCCTAAGGCTTTGCAATGCAAGGGCATGGTATGGGAACCCTAACGCGCATCGTATGACTGAAGTGCTGAAATATTTCCGCGCACAGATATGTCGCGCTTATTGTGTAAGTTGACTGATCCAAAAGGTGCTCAGGAGGGAAACATCAAAGAACGTCAGCCCCGCTACGTACTTTTTGCATTGATCTTTCAGGTAGTTGCCCTCTATGATGGCCTGAGTGCCCACTGTTGGGGGCGTATAGCTCCGTTTAAGGGTACCAGCAAGGTCTTATTAGATAATCCCCTCTCCTAGTCCTGTAACCAATGCCCTACCTGCAAATAAACAGCTGACTGATCTTCGCTGTTCCTCGTTAGGGTGTAGGGTTTCGGGTTTATGGCATGGTTTAGGTTCAGGGTTGGGGGCTTAAGCCTGGGAGGTAGGAAGCGGTGCAGTGTTTAGGTTCTAGGTACTACTTTCGGTGCTCTTTACGCAGACTTTCAAGGTGCTTCCGGTAATGACAGCTGCTGCAAGAGCAATCACAATGAACTTTAGTCTTCGTGTATTGCCACTTCCATGAAACATTGAGAGAACGCAAATCCCTATAAACCCCTTCGAAAGTAAAGAGCCCACAATCTCCAACCTAATCCCTCAACCCTAAACTCTGAACCCCTAAACCCCAAACCCTAAACACTAAACCCTGAAGCCCTAAACCCTGAACCCCTAAACAATTCTTAAACTAAGCAACTGATTTCTCATGCAAACCCAAACTTCAAAATCCTACAACCCTAACAATGACCCCGCCAACCCCCTACTAAGACATACTGCTCCAAATATATATATATATATATATATGTATATATATATATAGAGAACACGTATATTGATACTGTGTAGAGGGCATTTACTATCAGGGACAGGGGAGCTTTATTAAAGTCAGCCCTAAAGCTTAAACCCTACAATTATTGGTCCCGGGAGCTTTATTAAAGTCAGCCCTAAACCTTAAACCCTACAATTATTGGTCCCTGAATCCATCTGCAAAGCGGCATGAGCCATTCTACATCCTCACCAGTTTTTCCAGGCACCTCATCCAGTCACCCTGGTTGCTGCACGGCTAGGGTCTAGGGTCCAGGGTTTAGCTGTTTGAAGTTGTTTGACCCACCCCCCTAAACCCTAAACCCTAAACACAGGAGGAGGAGGTGCAGTTGTTAGCCCTGACCGTCATCATACACGGCCATCAACAGCAAAAACAGCAATACTGGCCTCTCGAACCCCAGTAAGAATCTTTTCGGCAAGAAATGGCTAAACCCTACACCCTAAACCCTAAACCTAAGGGTGCCAAATCAATGGGCACCTTCTGTAGCTTCCCATAATAAAGGTGTAAATATGTTGGGGTGCATGTTGGGGTCCCCTATTCATCCCTATGGGTCCAAGCATACACTCAAATAATGGGGCTTCAGGTCCCATATATCGTAATCTGAATGGTATTTGGGTTTGGGGCTTAGGGTTTAGGACTTAAAGCCCAAATATTTTGGTATTTGAGCCCTTAGGGAATGGAAGCCTACCAGATGCAACATAACCCTAAACCTTAAATCCTAGATCCTAACCCTTGACCCTGAATCAAATGCAGCCCAGAAGACATAAAGGGAGTCATGGTGAAACTCGCCTGCGATGGTTCCTGAGAGCTGCTTGAGGATGATACGGTATTGCCCCAGATACCTCATACCTTGGGAATTCTGGTACTACAGCATAATATACAATGGTCATGCGGGAAGTGTAATCGAAAAGTACGATCAAGTCCTAGACCAAATGTTCAAAGGGTTTAAGGTTTAGGGCTCAAGATTGGGGAGGTCAAGGGTTTCAGGTTTAGGGCTCAAGATTGGGGAGGTTAAGGGTTTCAGGTTTAGGGCTCAAGATTGGGGAGGTTGCAGCCCGAATCCCAGCGGGTTTTGGCTCCTGGACTTTGTCCTGCTGAAGGAAGACAGGGTCTTGTACATACTTTACACGGCTTAACTGCATTATCACATATTGCTGCCTCACCTGATATGGAAATGGATGGAACAAAAACATCAACAACATGAAAGAATGGACCCTTATAGTAGTCCCTATATAATCCGATGTAGTACTTTCCATGTTCTTTTCCATTCCTCCTAAACCCTAAACTGGCATCTCCTTCAAGATGGCAGCGCAAAAGCCCAAAGCTCAACCTAAGCGAGAAGAATGGAAAACAGCTGCACAATCCAATGTAACTGGCGGTACGGTATAAAGGGTAAGGGTTTAGGGCTTAGGGTGAAAAAAAGGTCATACAAAGGATGACAACCATGACGGTCAACAAAAATGACAGCTAGCACTCAAACAGCTGCGACAAAAGGCGATAGCAGGGCAAAAGTGATCAAGACAGCCTCATATAACTTAGGTGGACCCCCCACCCAGTAAAAGTGACTATAAGGAATAATGGTAACTATATTAGGGTGCTCTTATAGTCCTATTATACCACTATTACAGGGTGGGGGGTCCTCCTAACATATAACCCCTTTATAGTCCTCACACACTCCCTATGTAAAGGTCCCTCCTGAAGCCTCAGACAAATGAAGCACTGGGCAATTTCCTTAAATATGGGGAGCTCGGCGTAGACCAGAACAAAAAAACTATGACCCTCATTTCTGATACCACAGAAGGGGGACCCCTTTTTTTTGGACCCCCCCCACCTCCCACATCGTGGTACAAATTCCACTACCTTCCTTCAGCCCACTTTGCAGTGGTGAAAGCAAGGAATCATTTTCCGATAGCAACCATATTTGTAGCAATGCACAAGGCTTTAGAGGATAATGGAGCAATAGTTACAAGCAGTCTATAGGTGATAACATCTAGCTGTATAATGGAAAATCAAATGGAAAAGAGCATCGACAATAAAATGGACACAGGAGTCATACGGATAGTCGTAACAGAAATATTAATGGTTGTTTCTTCAAAGTCAAGAGATGACTGAAAAGCTGTCGGCGAACAACAGCATGATGACTACCTGAGACCAAGAAACATCTCACAATCTTGATCCACCCACTGATGCTTCACAATGTCGAGCCACCCGCCCACCCACCCACCCACCCACCCACCCACCCACCCACCCACCCACCCGCCCATGTCCAAAACCCTACAACCTAAGCAGAGATCGTAAACCCTAGGCTAACCCCTAAGCCTAGACCCTAAACTTACCGGAAGCCGAAAACCCCGTAGAACTCGTTGCAAGCGGCCATAGATGCGCGAAATGTTGGACGCTAACATCGCTGGACTGTGTGCGGCCTGCTCCTGAGCAGCTTGTCACACTACAAGCCTGGGCCAGTCTTATTACCAATCTTAGGAATATTACTATTATTACTATTACTATCTTTATTACTCTTACTACTGCTATTACTGTTGTTAGTAGTATTGCTATTTCAGTTGGTATTCTACCGGTGCGTCCATTTGCCTGGGTTGCTGCTAAGGAACGTAAGGTGAGTTACTGGAGTACGGAAACCGTATTTATATACCCAGGATATGGGCAATAATCAAAACCTCCTCCTTCAAGTGGATTATATAAGGGATTATGAAGAGACGACTATAGGGGCTCTAAAGGGGGATATTAAGAGTTGAGACTATGTCTCATAAGGTAACTTAATCTAAGTTCCATAACAGCAACCCAGATTATCCGCACCATCTCTACTCTGGATGTGAGTGGGTGGGTTGCAAGCAAAACCCTAAACCTTGAAGCCTCAGCCCTACAACCCCTAAACCCAAAACCCCCCAAACCCTGCGGACCCTAGCTCATGAAGCCTAAGCCCCAAAGGCCCCACATGAGCAAAGGCTCTGGCGCATCCTGAGGATTGTAGTCGCTGGCCTCTGCGGGGATCGCAGACTTGGGGGGTTAGGGTTTCAGGGTTTTGGGCTGTGGGTTGGGGGGTTGAAGGTTTCGGGTTTAGGGAGTTTAGGGTTCAGGCAGGTTAGGGCGTGAGGTTGAAGGTTTAGTAAGGGTAGCTTGATAAAAGGCAGCCCTTCCAATATAGACTTCAATGTACCATATTCTTTATTCTAGGGAAATCCAACAACGCCCCCCCCCCTTTGTGAACCCCCCAACTCAAGTGTAGGGAAGCTTGAAGTTTGGGGTACATGCCCGACCATAGCAGCATAAATGAGACTTCGAAGGGGTTGAGGGGGACTTCCAAGGGTGTATTTAGGGCTTAAGTTTCGGCGATTGGCGAAGCTCCCATCTAGGGGGCCGCTGTTCGCAGCAACCCCTAAACCCTTCGCCCTGGACCCTAAATCCGAAGCCCTAAACCCTATAGCGACTCCTAAAGGGATTGAGTTGGGACTGCGTATCAACTCAGCGGAAGTGAGGTACCTGAATGAGGGCTGCGTGGTGAGTATGCGGTTTAGGGTTTGAAGGGTTTGGGATTTACAGTCTAGGGTTCCGGGTTTGTGGTTTAGGATTTAATGGAGGTTTCCTAAAATTAGGGGCACCATTTTGGGGGTCACATAATAAGGACTATAGTATATTGGGGTTTATATTGGGTCCCCTTATTCTGGGAAACTACCATTTAGGTTTCTGCAGGAGTGGAGTCTCCATAGAAACCTCAAAATCCGATACGTGGCTCATCTTCCTCGGGACCTTCTGATTTCAGGCTACCTATATATACCCCGAAAGCACTTAAATAGGATTGATGGCTTAGGGCTCACAACACCCTTCCTTACAAAGAGCCAAAAGACCATTGTTCTACATACTTTGGTGTCCAGGGTTAAGCGTTTAGTGTCTTTGAGGTTCGACATTTTGAGGGGGGTAGGGGGGGTGTAACATGTATCCTAAACCCTAGACCCTGAATCATGTCGAAGGCAACCTTTCCTAGAGAGACTGCCTGTGACCTCTCGTGAAACCCTCACACCAAATCTGATCTTCTCAAGGAAAAGAAATACAAGCTCCATTTACAGCTTCAAATTGGAGGCAGCCAAAGCTCAGGAAATGGCCGACATTTTGAAAAATCCTAAACCCCAAAACCTAAAACTTAAATCCCAAACCCTGTTTGAGGATAGTCAGGCTCAGGCTCGATAAGCCCCCATCTACGACAATTCTGCAGCACTCGCTGTCGCACAGCTCAGGGTTTGCACAAGGCCACCGTTTCAAGTCACCACGATCCTGGACTACAGAGGCCTACACCCTAAACCCCAAACCCTAAACCCAATCTTCTGGTACAACCACCGTTCCACTTGCGTAAACAGAACATGCAATTGCCCAAAATCATGATAAGATCCCCATATGCCCTACTGAAGGAGGACTATACCCTAGACCCTAAACCCTATATGGTAGTTTCCCAAAATAAGGGGACCCCAATATAGACCCAAAAATACTATAGTCTTTATTATAGGGACCCCCAAAATGGTACCCCTAATTTTGGGAAACCCCCAGATCTACTTCAGGAGGATTGGGGCTTCAGGCTTAGGGGCCTGGATCCTGAACTTGTAGATCTCCGACTCCACCTGGAAACGGTCGACTTCTTACGACATAGAAACTAGTTGGGTGTAGGCTTTCGGGTTCAGGAGAATCGTAGGAAACACTACGGAATAATCAAGAATCGAATGAAGAAGCCTATGAAACATGAAATGCAAGCTGGAATTTAATGTTTTCGTAGGGATTTAGCGTTTGACTTGGCATAGGTAGGGGGTCAGAACACCAGTGTTATCAGTAAAGGTAGCTGTAATTTTTTTTGCAGTGGTTCGCTTGCCAGCCACACGAGCCTCGAAGCATCCTCGAAGAGAGACGCGTAGCGTCACCACTAGCTAAAAGCCGAAACTGAATTCACAGAAGGCCAGGATGAGAAGACGAGAAAGAGTGAAGTTATGGGGAAGGAAATCCCAAGATGGTATGTAGTGTGCATTTGGGCGGCTCCTCCCTGCAGCACTTCGCTCAGACCCTGCACGGCATTGGCTAAGCAAAAAGGCCCATATCAATTCAGGGTACATGAAGAGCCTACGCGCGCAAATGCCAACAGCATTTCCACCCGAAAGCATCGAAGGTGAGATACGTTAGAAAACCCCACAGAAATGCCAGCTGCTGATAAGAGTTTGACCGAGTGGTCTCTGAGACGACGCGTCAACAAACTTAAGCGAACATTAAGTTCCAGAAAGCCTCGAACGGGCCCAAACTCGGCAAGAAAGTCAAACAACAACTCTTGCCATGTTACTCTACGTACAGTCAGAGACGCCTGGGTCATTCGGAAAATGCCACCTGGTTTGAGACCAGAATTCCAAAACGTTTTTACTGAAACGCAAGGTAGCTGTAAGGACGTGTTAGCTAACCCTAAACTAAACCCTAAGCCCCTAAACCCTAAACCCTATAGATCCTAACTATTGCCCTCTTAACTTGGGTGTTGACTTGCCCAGGACAGAAACACTTGGAAACGAATTCGGACCTCTGTCTGGGAATTGTAAGGCTTCACGCAGGAAATGCCAAACCCTAAACTCCAATCCCTAACTCCGAACTCTACAACCTAAAGCCTGAAGACTACAAACCCTTCTAAATCCCTGAAGAGGGACATAAGTTCTCTGATCAACTAGAGCCACTCAGGTTCTGTTCAGGCAGCGTATTGTTATCTCATGCCCTTTTTGAAGTGACGCTTACCCCAGTAACAGCAGCAGGAATGAAGTCGTAAACACAGTGTAGGGGCTGAGTCGTCTTCGTCGGTCGTCGGTCGTCGGTGTCGTCGTCGCCGTCGTCGTCGTCTTCGTCGTCGGCGTCGCCGTCGTCGTCGTCCTCGCCCTCGCCCTCGCCCTCGTCCTCCTCGTCCTCCTCGTCCTCCTCGTCCTCCTCGTCCTCCTCGTCCTCCTCGTCCTCCCCGTCCTCCTCGTCCTCCTCGTCGTCGTCGTCGTCGTCGTCGTCGTCGTCCTCGTCCTCGTCCTCCTCCTCGTCCTCGTCCTCCTCCTCGTCCTCCTCCTCGTCGTCGTCGTCGTCGCCGCCGCCGGCGGCGGCGTCGTAGTAGTAGTAGTAGTAGTAGTAGTAGCAGTAGGAGTACTACTAGTAGTAGTAGTAGTAGTAGTAGTAGTAGTATAGTAGTAGTAGTGGTGGTAGTAGTAGTGGTGGTACTGGTAGTAGTAGAAGTAGAAGTAGTAGTAGTAGTAGTAGTAGTAGTAGTGGTAGTGGTAGTGGTAGTGGTAGTGGTAGTGGTAGTGGTAGTGGTAGTGGCAGTAGTAGTAAGAAGCAGAAGGAGAAAAGGATAGCAACAATACCAGCACAATGCGCGCCCTCACCGTCTTGTGCACCTGCTCGGCAGCCAAGTGGGCGGCGCCCCACTTTGACATGTATCCTTGCTTCAAGGTTTGAGTGAAAAAGGGGGGGTCTGGAGTTCACGAGGTTCAGCGTGTTGTGGGGGTTGAGATCTGTTTGGAGGAGTTTAGAGGGTTGGAGGTTTTAGGAGTGTACATGACGCATTTCTGGTTTGGCTTTCGGATAGTTAAGGTTTGGCTTTTGGGCCTTCGACTTATAGGATCCATTCGTAGGACGGGGAGTTGTACAATTGCGTGGACATCAGGGCTTTGTACTGAATATCGAGGTATTCGGAAGACGTTATAAAGAGCATTATAGTGATTTCCTAGACATGCTCTTATTCGGAGCAAAGAGTCTGAGCCAACGTGTTCCTAAAAAGGAATATAACTATGGTTGAGGTCAACCTTTATAATTACAGATAACACATGACAGGCGGACTAGAGGGACCCCAAAGTACAGTGACTTCGGAGTACCTGCCAGATGCAAGCTTTCTCCACGAGCGTAAGTACAAGGGAAACACGAAAGTCCAACTCATGATTCTGAGAAACTTCTATGATGCGTACAACCTCCATCTATGGCCACTTCCCATAGATCCGGCAATTCCTCAGATTTTGCAATCCTCTTTCCCCCCCCGGCAAAAACAAAAGTGGAGCGAATGTCAAAGTTACCCTATGTAAGGTGCTCGCATGATAGTTCCACAAATTGGGAACCCCAATATGGATATGGACCCAATATATTAATGACATAATCCTTGTTAGGGGGACACCCGGAAAGGCACTCCTGATTTTGGCAAACCCTAATCCCTATAATTCGCTCTACAATCCCAGATCATATTTCATTTTTCATTGATTTGATTATCGATTATTAGTGGAAATAATTACTCATGAACCCTAATTTCGGGATCATCCTAAAACCCTTTAAGCCCCTAAAACATATGCCTATAATATCGCTGTATAACCGCCCATACACCGCCTAAACCCTATACCCTAAACTATAAGCCCTGTATTTTTTACCCTCCAGGTCTCTGAGGCGCGACAGCAGCGTAAACGCAAGCCCCCCCAAGGCCGGCAAAACGACCAAAGCCACGTGGGAGAAGGACTGCCTTTAGGGTTTATGGGTGTAGGGTGGTGGTAGTAGTAGTAGTAGTAGTAGTAGTAATAGTAGTAGTAGTAGTAGTAGTACTAGTAGTAGTAGTAGTAATAATAATAGTAGTAGTCCTAGGCTTGGGGTTCAGGGATTCAGGGTTTGGGGTTTGGAGTTTAGGGTAGTTGTGTAGTGATAGTAGTAGTTGTAGGTTAATGGTTTTGAGTCTTTAGGGTCTAGGGTGCAGCACAAGGCTTGGGATGTCCCAACAGCACTGCTAAAAGCAGTGCTAGGATGATAGTACCACTAGTGATAGCTTAATGTAGACCCCTGATTAAGAACCCCCCCTTAAATGGAGATCATAATAGGGAGCCTAATATCAAGGCCCTTAAAAGGGGTGTATATTATAATAAGATCCTCATATACCCTAGATTCTATCTACTGAAGGGGACCCTAAACCCTAAACCCTAAAGCCTCAATCCCATTCTATCTACTTAAAGGGGACTATACCCTAAAGCCTAATCCCTAAGCCCTAAGTCCTATTCTATCTACTTAAGGGGGACTATGGCCTACCCTAAACGCGAAGCCCTTGAATCGGACCGGGCCAGAGGGCTCCAGGAGAAAGAGGTTTTAGGGTTTAGGGATTAGATGTGGCGTAGCCAAGAAAATAGGATTCAGGGTTTGGGGTTGAGGGTGTAG